CCCCGATGGGGGCGAGGGGGGGGGATCGGCCCCCCCGTAGGGGGGCTGGGGGGGGGTGCCCCCCCCCAGGGGCACATGCATGTGGCAGGCGTGTGACACGTGCCACCCCATGACACGGTGCACCCTGTCCACCCCCCCTCCAGGACGAGTCCCTGTCAGTCCCCGACTTTCTGGAGGACGGTGACAGCAACGGGCCCTTCCCGCTGGAGGACCCCGAGGCCACCAGGTAGGGATGGGGAGCGGGATGGGGACACAGGGACGGGGGCACGGGGATGGGGACAGGGACACGGGGATACGGACATGACGAAATGGGACTGAGGACAGGGTCGGGTCACAGAGACAAGGATGGGGACACAGGGGATGAGGACATGGGTCCCTTGTGCCCTGGGGTGACCCCAGTCATTGGAGACGTCCCCAGGGCCACCACGTTGTCCCCAAGGTGATGTCCTACCTCCCAGGGTCTCCCTCACCCCACGACCACTGGCCCCATGTCCTAGGGTCTCCCCATCCCCAAGATGATGTCCCCAAGATGATGCCCCCAACACCAATGTCCTTCACCCCAAAACCAACGTCCCCAGTGTCTCCCCCCACCCTGGGGCCATGTCCCCACGGGTGCCACCACCAGCCAACCCCATTTTCCTCCACAGCTCCCCACTGCTGCCGTCAGAACCAGCCACCGCCGCCGAGCTGCTGCCAGGTGAGTCCTCGCTGTCATGTCAGTGGTGCAGGTTGGGGAAACCGAGGCATGGGTGACCCCCGCTGCCCCCCCTTCCTTGCAGGTGAGGAGGAGGAAGAAGAGGCTGAAGATGGCAGCGGGGAGGCCACCCCGCGTCCCTACCGCTGTGGTGAGTGCGGCAAAGCCTTCGCCCAGAGCTCCAACCTCCTGAAGCACCGGCGAGTGCACACGGGCGAGCGGCCCTACCGCTGCGGGGAATGCGGCAAGGCTTTCGGCTGGAGCTCGTCCCTGCTGGAGCACCGCAAGGGCCATGCTGGGGCCAAGCCCCACGCCTGTGGCGAGTGCGGCAAAGCCTTCAGCCGAGGGTCCACCCTCCTGGAGCACCAGCGGACCCACACCGGCGAGAAACCCTTCCGCTGTGGACAGTGCGGCGCCCGCTTCAGCCAGAGCTCTACCTTGGTCCACCACCGGCGGACACACACCGGCGAGCGGCCCTACGGCTGCCCTGAATGCGGCCGGGCTTTCGGTCGTAAGTCCACCCTGGCCACCCACCGGCGGACCCACACCGGCGAGCGACCCTACGGCTGCCCTGAATGCAGCCGTCGCTTCGCCCGCAGCCCCGACCTTGGCCAGGACCCGCGGGG